ATTATTATTCTAAATTAATTGAGTTTGGAGTACGAAGCGGACGACCCATGCCACACGGGACTAGGAGAAGCTGAGGCGGCATGTGACGCGTGCGAGGCGCGCGCGCACGAAGCCGCGCGCGACGAGGAATAGGCAACGCGATGAGGCGGTGCGCGTTGATGCGGCCGAACAAGTAATTGGGCGTGTGATTTGAATTGTTTGGAGTGCAAGCCAAGCAAGATCAAGACTTAGTCAATTTAAGACTCTAGATATTTAGTTTCCTTCTTGCACAATAATATCTAGATTGTTTAGGTTAATTAATATTTAATTACTTTAATTAGTTTCCTAGGTAGATTAGAATTAGTAGTAGTTAGGATCTATAAATAGGGATGTTCCCTCATTGTTTTTAGAGGTCTTGGATTTTATGAAATAGAAAAGAACGTTGGTTCGTAACCGTGTGTTAGGGTTTGTGAGAATTCGATCATGCAACCGAATTGGTGAGGCTAAGACCCAAGCCAGTTCAACGAATTAGAGAGGCTAAGACCCGATCTATTCGAAGAGTGTAGCGAGGCTAAGACCCGAGTGAACTCAAGTATCGTGAGAGAGTTAGGCTAATAACCGAGTCGATCACACCTATCGTCGAGAGCAAGGCTGTGGCGAAGCCGTGATCGAGACAAGTCGAGGGAACGCAACACCCGATCTTTAATCACCGTAGCCAGCATAGCCCACGCCCAGTGCGGCCCGCGCAGCCCAGCGCACCCAGCAAGTCCCCCAGCGCCCCATATGGTAAGTAGGGCATTTCAAGCCCTATTTAACCCCTTCTTTTCCCCTCCCCAAGCCTCCAAAACCTTCCCACTCACTCTCCATCACCCGCCACCCTCTTCTCCCTCTCCACTCCCAATCGCTGCCTCCACCGTACACCCCAACAACCAACGAGCAAGGACCACGGCCAACCCTCGAACCCCTGCCCCTGTTCGAGTATCCCCAGACGAGGAAGGAGCAGCCCACCTCTGTCCAAAGTGATCCCAGCCCCGGCGTGTCGAGCCCCGCCGCCGAGCTGCCCTTGCGCGTGCCTTCGAGCCTTCGAACCCTTTTTCCTTGTTCTTTTTAGTGCAATGACCACGAGAACGGTACAAATCTGATAAAACCCCCTTATATTATGAGGATATATGTTGTGTGTTAAGGCCTTGAAGAGTTTTTCATGTTAGGGTTAAGTTATGATCGTTTCATTTTGATATATATTCGATTTATGAGTAAGCATGTAAATTATTGGCAAAATCGTGATTAGGGCTATGGAATATCGGTACCTTTGAAGTCTTTGGCCTCATGATGAAGGCCTTAGACGTTGTTCTTGAGTATGTGGTCATATATGTATTTTTGAATCAGGTATTGTTGCTGAACTTTTATAAAATCATCATAAATCGCGTATTCATCCAATTACTGTGCAATCTGAACTGTATGACCCTCTATTTGTATATTATGTGGTTTAAAAGTTTCAGGTCGAAATAATATCTATAGCTATGTCAAATGTCGATTTGAAAGTCTGGGCAGAAACTTCGAAACATCATTAAAATTCACATTCTTGGTATTTTGCTGTGATCTTTGGTGAGTGTCATTATCCTGTTGTTATATGCTTTGTGTCCAAATATTGTTGAAAAATTCCAAGGATTGTCTGGTGAACTTGTAAATTCAGATTTTCGTCGCT